GGGCTCATTAATCTATATATATTACTATATGTGACGTATTAAAAACACCCAATCAGCAAACCGTTGGCGTTTTATAATTACCTGGCTTGATTACTTGCAAATTAAATTATAAGCTGGCATTTCTTTGTGCTATTATGAATATTTAGAGGTTCTTACGTGATCAAGGTGCTTCCATTCTTCTGCCCACTCTCTGTCTGTTAGTCTATGGTCTATCATTTCTTCTTGACGTGCTGCTGGCAACCCTAGACAAAGCAGATGTATAGTCTCATATAACACTAATTAAAACCCTTTTGAAAAATGGATAAAGTCTTTCAGCAATAGCTTTAAAGGATGTGTTTTTTTATATGCTGGTGGTAGTAGTGGGACATAAATATAATTTTCTTGATGAAAAAAAACCCAAAGAAATCTAAAGGAAATTGTAGTACTCTATTTCTATGGATAAGTAAAAGCAGCAAAGGCCAGAAAATAGTATAAAGCTCAAAGGAGACAATAGCAAGACAGAATGTCAGAATGTACTGAATTCCTAGCTGTGCAGCAATCGGTGCCCACCATGCGTTTATATGTTCACATCCCCTTTGTCATTGATAAATTTGATTTCAAGAGTAGGAGATAAACTGCGCTAGTTTGGCTGTCAGGTCTTCTGCGGAGTTCCAAGTGTTTAATTACTACTTTCACAGCAGAAAGCAAATGGTTGTTATTTCAATTGTTTTTCTCCTACACTCAAATCAATAGCAAAATGTGATTTATTGACTTTCATTTTTATATCATATTTTGTACTATAACCATGGCCAAAACCTCAGTTACTTAACATCCACAGAATCAAATCAAATGTGTTAAAGGAAAACTCCAGCCAAAGCAAAGAAGACAAATCTCTTTTTCCTCAGTCATTACAGTCACAGACTGGCTTTGAAATCTTGCCTTTTCCAGTGTAGCTATGTCTTTATTTTTTCAGTTTCCCCCTTGCAACAGATCTGCTTTATGTATTAAGTGAGAGTTTATTTTGAAGACTGCAGTTGTTATTCTGTAGAGCCTCAGTCTTGCTTCCTGAACCATGCCTGAATTCTGAATGCTGGGTAAACAGAACCTGTGTTGACATAAAAACTTACAGAACAACATGCCATTGGATATCATGCACCATGAAGAGCCCTGGCTTACCATTAGTATTACTAACATGTCTGCAAAGCTCCATTGGAGCTCTCTGAAGAGCCTATACCAATGCAATGCTAATAGCGATGCTTTTAGAGATATTACTGTGATAAATTGATGTACTTGCTACTAGGAGGTCACTGGCAGTGCAGGGGAGAGGTGAAGGGCTCAAGTGGTGCTCTTCAGACATGATTAGTGAGGCTACAAATGTGCCATGGCACTTTTAGGTGCCTGTTTCCAGTAACAATGTTGTCCTCTAGGCTGTCTTCAATGTGAGGGCAGCCCAGTGATTGTATGTTCTCCATGTGTTTTGGTGGGTTTCTTCCCACATTCCAAAGAGACTGTTGTAGGATAGTTGTCTGCTGTCTAAATTGTCCCCAGTATGTGTTTGCGTGTATGTATGCATGTGAGATAGGGACCTTAGACTGTAAGATACTTGAAGGAAGGACTGATGTGAATGTACAGTATGAAAAGTGCTGCAAAGAATGTGGAAGCTATATAAATATCTGTAATAAATAAATTAATAATTATGTGAACACAGGTTTCAATTAAACAACTCCTCAAGGCAATTCCAGTTCATGCAACATGTCACTGTTAGAGCTGCATATCAAAGAGCTGGCAGACAGAATATTGCATTGAACACTTATGCTCTGTTCATTCTTTCCAATTTCAGCATAGATGCACTTTCCGTAAACTTTAGCTGGTTTGCAGGGGATATTGTACGTTAAATATAAAGAAGAATTACACAAGCACAGATTAAAATAATAACTAGAACATTTCAATGAATATATTAATGGACTAAAGAAATGTTATTTACATTTTTCCTTTAGTTCTTCTTTAATATTCTCCACAAAGCTGTATTACCACAGGAGAAATATGGAAAGACCTCTAGAGCTCTTACCCATAGGTCTGTTTCTGTCCCTGAGGTTGGGGTGTCTGTATGAGTCCCTGTAGTGGTGGGCAATTGCCATATCATCCAAACGGTAATGCTGAGGTGGTGGTGGGGTAGGGTGAGGCAGACCATTGGGTTGATAGGATAAGCCATTATTTGGACTGAACCGCTGGCCAGGGCTTATAGTGCACGGCCGCTTGCTTGGATGCTCTGAGTGCAAAGGCTCTCTGTCAAAGCCATTTTCTTTGGTTCTGAAAAAAAGAATGTGTATAACATACTGCATTTGTCTTTTAAATGTATTTTAGTTCCCTTATGTGATGAAAAATACAGCAAAGATCATGTACATCAAGGGACAATTCTTGACGCCAATGCATTTTACATGACAGCTTGAGTCATCTCCAGGCCAAATACCCCTCACATCCCCAATGCTTATGGAATAGAGTTGTCATATAGCAAAAACAATAAAACCCCTTTAATGTAGAAATGCAAGGAAGGTGGAGTCCAGCTTTAAGCATGCCTCTGAATTGTCTCTATTTTGACAGTACCCTTCAGATTTTCAGACATCGAAAGGAATAGGATCAACAAAATGGGTGCAGTCTAGACCAAATATGGCCATGTTTAAGGAGGGATGTTAGTGAGGAAAGAGATTGCAATCTCAAAGCTAACAAATTGGCTTTAAAAGATGATGCACTTTAAAATTAAATTAACTCTGTCAATGAATCCAGGTTTACCAAGCAGCTTTAAACGTATTACCAACTACATCTGACTTTTCTTTCCTTGAGCTTTCAGAGGTGTCATCACTAGTCCCAGCCAGTATAAACATTGCTTTGTGTACATTCAACTTGCCTGTATCTGCATTGTAACTGCAGAAAAGGGAGGCCTGTTTCACATTTACTAAAGGAGAATACACTTTTGACTTAGCAAAGTGATTAATTAATAAAGTCAAGCTGTGATCGTGGCAATCGTTATATTTTTTTACTTACAATTACTTTACAAAGTGAACACACACTTCACAAAGTAAAGTATACTTTACTTCCAGGAGCCAAGCTGTGAGCTTCTAGCGAGTATATGATCTCCTCTGTTTGCATATGTATAGAAATCATAATTTATGGCTAATTTAAAGCTCCTGTCAGTAAAGACATTGGAGTTGATTTACTAAAGGGAAATAGGCTGTTCACTTTGCAAGGGCATTTTCACTTTGCAGGGGCATTTTCCCTTAACTTAGTGAATGAGGTGAAGCTCTGCTGACTTCCATCATCCAATGATGAGCAAGCAAAAATACTTTATTCATTTTCCTTGCACATGATTGGACTTTCTTTGCAATGTGAGTATTAACCACATTCATTAAGCTAAGGGAAAATGTCCCTGCAGATTGCAAAGGAAAATCTTTTTTTTAACAAACACAAGCACAAGCTTGGGTATTCAAAGTGAATATCTGCACCATGTTCATTCTTCTAACTAAACATCTACTTTGCAAAGTGAAGGTACATGCTATATTCGTTTAGTAAATCTACGTACTACTGTAACCCCCATGTACATTAAGTAGATGGCTTTGTTGTTGTCACTAATATTTCCAGCTACAATGGCGATTCAGACAAGCTGAACAGTGTTCACACGGTGCAGCCATGTTACCTAAGCTCTCAAAGCACAGAGAAGGAAAAGACAGAAATAATAGGTTATATTTGCAAAGTTACTTGAGATATATATATACATATATATAT